CTAAGTGGTCACCTTAATATTTAAAAAAAATATATATATATATATATATATATATATATATATATATTTTATAAGCTTGTTTTTGTTTATGTGAAATCAAGTAACAAATGAAATATCATAAATGAAATCATAAAATATTTATTTGTTATAAAACTATAACCTAGATCTATGATATAAATCATTGTTTGGTAAATATTATATATTGGTAATATTTATTAAATAACTTGTTAAAAAAGTATATAAGAATAATATATTAAATGAGAGGTGTTAAATAAGTATATAGTCATAGTAAGTTTGCTATTTAAGTGAAAATATATAAGAAATTGTTCTTTCTCTTGTGTCTTTGCTGCTAGCTCAATATAAAGTCTAGCTTTGTTATTTAGTCCCACCTGCCCATCTCTAGTTGGGGGTTTTGGGTTAGGCTTAGGCTCAGAAACCTGGATTGGTGACTCAGATAGGTGAAATGTAGATACATCAGCCCGGTGGGCTAACAGGTCATGCAACTCGGATGTCATAAAGAAGTTTTTTGGGTAGATTTTTTGAGTTTAGCACACACAATGCTAGGAATCGACTGTGGACCACATGAGCAGCGGAGCAGAATCCCATATGTGTATTTCATAGGCTTATTTTTGTTTATGTGGGGTCAAGTGACAAATATAGCTAAAAGTTTTGGGTACCAGACTCTAACAAATACGAACTCGCAAAACTCACAAATAGGGTCCGTAATGGGCTGGGCCAAACCCGGCCCGAACTTGGACCCGACCCACAAATTACCAGGCTTGGACCCAGATTTTTAGGCCCGTAATCAATTTGGGCCAATACTGGGCTAGCTCATAATTAACGGGTCGAGCTTAGGCCCGGTTTAACCTATTGTAAACTTTAGTAAATTTAGAATCGTGCCGGGTCTGAGTTCAAATTTCCAAGCCCGTAATAATTTTGGCAAGTTCGGGCCGGGCTTTGGCCTAGACATACCCGACCAGACCCGGTCCATTACGGACCTTACTAACAAATCATGATTCGAATCGTGATAAACTCGAATTATTCGAGTCACGAGTTGACGAATCCAGTCACTAACACCAGTTTGTTAAAAAACCTATTCGAATATTGCTTTACAAGTATTCTTAAAAATCTCACTAATAATTTTATCAATTTCAATAGTGAATTCGAATCATAAGTTTTTAACCTGCGAGTACTCACGAGTTAATTATTAATGTATAATGAAGTTTAAAATAACTAATACATTGCATTATAAATTTTGTAAGCTGCATAAAATGTCGTAATTCTAACATAATTATACGTATGTAATTCTTTAAAATATGTACGTAATTTATTGCAATCGCAAATTTTTAATAAAAATACATTTGCGTTCGTAACTTGTAATTGGATATAATTGCTTTATAACACAACACAATTAGATTTGCTTCGTGTAACTCGTTATTTTGAATTGTTTTTGTAACTCGCAATTTATAAAAATTTATCAATGAATTAATTGTCGTGACTCGAGCACTCTTCTGATTTTAATTCACGAGTCACGAGTTTATACGAGTCCATATACAAATTTGTAATCTTATTTTTTGGTGCATTTGCTTATTTTTTTTTTTTTTACATATCAGACAAGAAGAAATCTAATCTATTTATTGCGGTTTGCATATTGTGATCCCTATGATTAATTATTTTATGATTAAATGATTGTAATTGTGATTGTGATCGCGATTGCTAAAGCCAACCAATTTATCATGAGTCTGAGTTCAAAGTTATGATAAATTGACTGGCTTTAGTAATCACAATAAAAAAAATTAATCATAAGGGTCACAAAATTATGCAAACCGCAATAAAAATATTACAGAGTAAGTTGTTGTCAAGAATAGTGTTTTCAAGATAAATAAATTAGTTAAAACTTATGAACAAAAATAAAATCATCAATTATTTTAATCTACTTATTTTACTTTCGCTTTAACTCGTATCCATATGACTCCCGATCGTCTTAATCTGACGATAATACCGATACCGTTATTGGCTTCTACGCATCAATAATTGTAACCGAGCCAGAATTTGATCGGAGCTGCGGGGCCCAGTCATCTCTCGACCAGATATTTTCCGTCCAAATAACTGTATTTTATTTACAGTATTATTTTTTTAATTTAAAGGAAAATTTTTTTAATACTTTTTTATACACGAATATATCTTGTTTTTTATTAATTAAAAAATTTATAAGATCATCTTATAGTACATGAAACAATGAAAATTTTACTTGTATAATTTTTAATAATAAATTGGTAATTCCCACTGTATGGAGTACCAATACATATATATATACACTGATTTTCAATCAAATTCTCAAGTCTTGATCTCGACCCCAATATCTGCTAATTTGTGCATATACATTTATCATTATATTAATTATATTACTAGCAAATATGAATCATTCATGTAAATGTAATTTTCTCTTTGATATATTATTTATTAAACAAATCATTTACTAATTAACAAGGTGAGGTAGTATTTCAGGAATGGATAAAATGTTTTTTTGAATAATCAACTTAATCGCATTCACTCTCTCTGAATAGTGAATTAAATGATTATTCGGTGTGGTTTGTCCTTCAAACATATCATAGTCGTCCGAATATGGACATAATTGCCAGTTTTCTAATACAAACTTCCATATTGATTCAAATAATAAATATCCAACATCTTTCGATTGAAGATGAGGCAATAGACAGCCCACATTTTTCAGAGGTGAAGGAATATAGCGTGCCTAATCAACAAACGATATTAAATACCTAATAAAATACAGTTGTAGAATAACCAAACACACAATTTGTTTACCTTCTGTAAAATTTCGACAAGCCGTATTGCAGTATCCAATTCTATTTGATTTTTTCTTTGAGTTTGTTCCCTTACGCGATACCAAAAAGTAATGTTCATCGCAAAAAGAGACCGAACGAGAGAGTTAAAAAGTTCTTCAAACATTACATAATCTTGAAATAATTAATTAACCGATTTTTGTTAAACAAATATTTCACTAAATATGCATCAGATGACCTTATAACCCATTTAGAGACAGTATCTACATACCATTTGCTAGAAAACTAAGCAATATCCACAACTCCGGATGTTCTGAAAATGTTGATTGCAAAAAAGTATCTCTACGATACGTTATAGATTTTGGTAAAATTATATGCCCTGTTATATTTGTCGGAGGTTCCTTAGTTGTCAAACGGTTCAAAAGAAGACGTATCAATAACGAAGTTTTACTAGATTCAAATGATAATAGATCTAAAAGTTTATAACATATATGCGTTAATATTAACAATTGAACCCATCTATACAAGTCTTATTAAGCAATTACCTGGGCGCATGCAGCACATCCTAAACAATATACCATTATTCCATGCATTAGATATGGTGCAATCATGTTCTGGAGAACTGTTAATAAGATAATGAATTAGAACGTGAGACTTTAAAAAAATAAAAATAAAATTTAAATTTAAATTACCTCGTATTGTAATTATTTATAAACATGACAAAATTTTTTTGCCAAAAGTTTGAATTAATCGATGACATTGTTGAAGGTTTTTTTACTGACCAAGGTTTAGGCTTCAATGTTTTCCATGCTGTTATTGAGGATTTGCTGTTAGAATTTGGAGCACCAAACCTAAATCTCGGTATCTTGTGTCGAATATATGATTCTGAATCTGATGTGTCTTCCGTTATTGTCTGCATTTTACATGGCCAATTTCGTATAGACTCATTATTGACCAAAAGCTTTTTAAGTACAAGACTCGGTATGTAAAGAAAAGCCTCTTGGCATTGTGAAAATGTCAAAACTATAAATGATAAATAATAATTTTCAATATTAAATTTAAAATGATTTAATTCAGAAACATCTTTTAAAATTACATACCAATCATTTCTAAAACAGCTATTGTTTTATCCCATTGAACCTTTCTCCCATTAGTGTTCGTTAATTGTGATTGCCTTGAAATTACGTCAAACCATACATCAATCAACTCATTACAGCATGCAATGATATATCGAGCTGATGATTTTTTTAACATATGGGATGTAACATATAATAATAGTAATAATAACCATCCTGAACTCGTTGTTTCTAATCGGTCATTGTGAGAATTTAGCATGTATCGGAAATTGCGCAGTAACTTTCGGTATGAACTTCCTAAGGCATCTACTATACATTTACATGTTTTATTCAGTACTAATGAGCCACTGGTCAACTCGGTCAAATTGATATTAGATGTATCCGGGTGTGTTGAAATAAAATAAACAAATGTTTTGTATACTCTAGTATGTCGAGTATTAATGGCTAATGATGGTAAATCAAGGTTTTTGTATAACAAAGTTTTTTCCACAATTTTATCGACAGCCAAACTAATTTGAATTAAAATATTAAATTAATAATAAGGTCATAATTTTAACCATTTATATTCATTTAACAAATATTCATTTTTACCTAACAACGTCCTTCCATTTAAGCTCCAAAGTAGTAATCAATTCACGAGCAAGATTAATCATACTCACAATTCTTTCATCCTCCGATGACATTGTCGAAAAATCAATTATAAGCAAAAGCTCTACGATTGTTTTTATAGCATTTTGCTTCGTGGCCAATCCAATGCACTTAAGCATCACTAGCCAAAAATGTTCACAATCAGTACCCCAACGATATGAAAGCATGGTTAATACTCGATTAAGATCGAAAAAGTTATGAGGAGTAACAACTAAATGTTCAGATGGTTCAGTCCAATTTGACGACTCTGTAATTGAAGACTGCGATAAAAAATAATTTTCTATGAGCGCATTCAAATATGATTCCGCTTCAGAATTGAAATGAAAATCCATGACGCACTCATCAATCTGGTAGCAATGAAAAAGGTGAATATTGACTCCATAAAAATGCAAACATAATGTAATAGAATTATGTACACACCATATTTGTTATCTGTTGAATAATGTACGTACATCTTGTACGAATAACATTATTCAAATAATTTAATTCGGTATGATCTATATTATCGTCATTAACAACGTATTGTTCATTAGCTAAACTATCCAGTAATAAGCATACAGGAAGCATATGAGGTACAACATTTGGTGAATCATTTGTCAACCAAGACAATAACCAGCTAGAAAATGCATCCCAAAGCGGTACTGTTTCGCTACGAAAAGTGAATAATAATAATTTTATTAAAAAAATTTATAATTTTAAAATGAAGAAGAAATATTATGAAAAGACTTACTTTGATGATGATACACATAAAGAAAATCTCGTGAAGCACTCAAAGTAGCATATTGTTTGTATATTTTTCACAGAGAGATGATCCCATATTTGCTTTTCATTGTCTAGTTAAATACATGGTAACGATCAGAGCAAAATGAATAATCGTGTGATACAAATAATAAATCGATCTTACTCTTTATAAGCTCAGGATATTGGATCGTAAGATTAAGTAGATGAGATACAATTATTCGTTCACCCACTAATAAAAATATAAATGATATAGAAATTCATAATTAAAAATTTATTAATATTTTTAAACGAGCTAATTATATAATAATTACCATATTTTTCTAACGAGGATGAAAGCCTATCTTGAATGTAATTATTTGCAATATCCGAGTAATATTCCAATAATCCTATCAGACTTTGCTGAAGCGCCACAGGATCGACATCCATTAAAAATTCAAATATTGTAAATGGAACACTAAAAAAAAAACACAATTTGAGGGTGCAGTTTATTTAATGAATTATAACCACGTGAATATGACTTGTAGTTTTGTTTTTCAAAATTTTTAAAAGACTTACCGAGAATTTAGTTGATTCAACATCCAAATATTAAATTCGAAAAACACCTGCCATCGTAAGTCTACAGACACGTGATCAGTCGTCCATTTAAGCATCCATAACGCCTTAATTTTAGCTAGATTCTATAATAAAAAAATAAGTTAATTAAATAATATAAATAATTAAACTAGATAAATTTGATATATGACTATTATTACTTCAAACAAAGTGATACAACGAGCTTTATTCGTTCGTGATTTCTTTGCGTAAGAACTAAAAAGTATTTTGGTCAAAAAAATTATAAAATTTTGCTAGGTTAAATGCATTTTCAAAATTAGGAACTTACCCATTTGAAAATTTTGAATTGTTCGGTGACAGTAGGCAGTCAAACGCGAGTTCTGCTAACCGTCTAAGAATTGGAGATTCCGCGTAATGATTACTGAGTATTTGTAAATTTTCTTTTGCATATGGGTCGTATTCGTTTTTGAGCCGTTGTGTTGCTGAAACAAAAACAATTAATAAATCAAATTCGCCCATAATAGACAAATATATTACTTTGTTTCCACAACATCACGTGACTAACCACATATTGGCAGCAAAAAAATTGGCCACATAGATAATCCAAATCAATGCCTTAAGATCTAATTCTGGACGTGTGACTATGCAACCAAAATAGAGATGCTGTAAAGACGCAAACCGTTTCATAGTTGATACGGTCGCATCGACAAAAATCTGATAGATAATTACCATAAGGAAGATTTGAAATATGGTGCTCAATTAAATGCAAAATCCACTAGAAAAGGGGGTAAAGTTTGATTAATATGTGAAAAAGAATTGAATGATTATAAAATATAAATGCATTAGCAATAAAATTAGCAATGGTATTAGAAAGCAACAGATAGAAGAAAAATCAAGAACTCACCTCAAATAGGTTTTGGCTATGAAAATCATCTTGTTCACGTGCTCTGAGGCGCAGTACATCTAACTCACGAACACAACTGTCGTATTTTTTTCTCGCTTGTATAACGTCACCATTGCGTCCATTGAAAGTTTGCTGAGACCGCAACATTACCGGGTCTCCAGCACAACTGGAGGCGATAGTGTTTGCTAAGTTTTCGAGATCTTGGGAAAGATCCGATGCAAATGAGCCATTAATTTGAACGTACCCCTCCATAATAGTGGTGGGTTTAGGTAAAAAGTTCAAACGGAAACAAAACTTAAATTCAACGTAAATCAACATTATTTATAATAATTTGACAATGATCACGTGTGCTGGTACCATGCATGATTATACCTCTATAAACATGAACATTATGTAATACAACCAATCACAAAGGGTAACACCAGCGTAGTTGGACGAACATATTACACAAAAAAAGAAAATTCTAATATCTCAAAATTTTATTATGACAACTTGATTTCAAGCATTAAGCAAAAACGTTTATCGCTAAATTTTACATATAATTTTAGATTTTTTAATTATATAAAGTACATGAATATTCATGAACAAGCCAAAAAAATCTATGGACACAATAACGTGATAACACCATACACGGTAAGATCAAACTGGCATATATAAGCCTTTATCTGATTACAAAATTGATGACGAAATGTACTACAAGAAAATCTCTATTATACGAATAATTCTGGTCAAAAGCTTAATTTGAAAATCGATCACCTGCTGTGTAAAATTTTTGCAACAAATCATATTTTAAATATGGATTAGCTCTGTGTACCCTTGAAATAAACCCAGCATTGATATGGTTATAGTAAACCACGATCAAGTCTGTGTTCTACAATCGCTCCCAACGTCGAATCGTCTTAAAGGAGATCCGACTCAGATAATATTTTTCATACTATTAAAATCCTTATCGATAGTAAAATCGCACGAAATACAATTAAATATCTTATTTCTGCAAAGGTTCCCGTTCACGGCATCGCAATTCCCACAAGTCTTCAAGGTAAATTCTTCCGTGCACTCTATCTTCCTATCAAAGTATTCTCTCGATTTGTGTTTTAGAAATTCTTTGAACTTATAATGTGACTGCATAAAATAGCCTTTGTCGTTTTTGATTTAATTTTCTACTGTTTCTTTGAACATGCCAGAAATTTTAAAAGTTGGTGTTAATACGGGCGGTCTAGTACCTATCAAACAAACTTATAATGGGTTTCGTCGATGAGATTCGAATATCTGCAATAGTTCTGTGCATCTTTCCTCTTATCTTTTGCACATTATCGCGATTCAATTGAAATCGACTCTTCCCCATTCAACTATTATACTGGATGGATCGTAGCATTTCATGAAAGTTCTTACCCAAATCGAACGAAATTATTCCACCGCTTATCATTTGCTTGGTTCTCACAATTCTTCAGCGGTATCAACCTATCAGGCAATATTCTCGATCTTTTTTATATTTTTTGACCTTATGATATTTTTCGGGAATGAATATTAACATTTTTTGATTGTAGTCTCGACGATTCTTGAACGTAATTATCATCGATCTTAGATCCGTTGTTGGTCTTGGACATATGTTCAATTGTTTTTAATGCTATTGAACTGGGCAGAACATTGGGCATGTACTTTGGACATAGCCATGTTCAATATGTTCAACTGAATTTTAAAATTTTTTGAAAATTTGAGTGAAGAACAAACTTACAGCGCTTTTCAAATTACTGTGTTCATCAAATGATCGCCCATCGCACGGAAATCTGAAAATATTGGCAAATTTTGGCACTTTCTCATGAATAAATCTAATTAAAATGTCAGAAACAAAAAA